AAGGCTTTACATGTTGTTTGGGAAGTTTCCAATTTCTAGATACATATTGTCCATTACGAGAAAGTAAGATGCAACATACCTGTGCACTTATGACACATAATTCATTTTTAGAGTACCTATACAGGTATTTGCAGCATTGTTTTAAATATCCCTGATATAGCCGACATATCCGTCTAATATGTCATTTTACAAGGCTTGCCGCAAAACGATATAGTCTCAACACCCTTTACTGCTATTTGACAATTTTTGGGTGATATATCCCCAATATAATTGGTATATTAGCCAATATGTTGGCTGATATGTCCCTTTATATGGCTTGTCACAAAACTTCCTTAATGTTTTTTTAGCAAAGATTCCATCCCTATAAAGTTTTTTTAGTAAATTCTAGTAGGCTCTTTTCCTTATATAAGTTTCTACAATTAGTTAGTGATCCTAAATATATATTATTTATATTTTTGTATGCTTAGATTTCATTAAGTGTGTTAGATTACATTAAGTGATCCGATATTTCCCTGATATCCGCAATCTGATATGGATTTTGACCATCCAATATCTTCCCAATATCCGATGTTTAAAACCTTGATTTGAGGAACAGGAACAACAACAAGTATTATCTGTGCAATGTTTATTTGCTTTGGAACAGAATATATGCAATTATGCAGTTATGAACTATATCTTTAATTTTCCTCCAACTTGGCCTAAAGTCATTCTGTGTGGTTTCCTGCCTTCACTTTTGATAGCAGACCAATGTCTCAGACATTAAAATACTGAAATTCAGTTTCTGGGATTTGTTTTCTGAGATATTAATTTCTTGTTTGTGAGATCCTCTTCTTAGGATTCACTGTACTTGAAATATGCATTGTAACTAGAGCCTTTCTATTGCCTGTAATCACTCTTTGATTGCAAATCTAACTTCTTCCATGCTGTTTTTAGATATAAAAGAGATGGTTGGCTGAGAAGAATCACAGAGCATTATAATCTTATTGCTGTTAGTGGAACCCATGGTATTGCTATTTTCCTAGTTAACCTTTTCCATTTGGTTACGCTCCTGCACGTAAATCCTTCTTACCCATTTGTGAGGACATGCTATTGTATTTGGTTTTATGATTGTGAACGTTATCTACTGGTTTTTGGATACCAGGTGATAATCAGACAAGTTCTTAAGGTCTGAATGGAAGGAAATATGTGTATCTATGGTGTTCAAACATTGAACCACTTGGTTCTCAAAGTTTGTGATGAGGTTGAATGTTTTGCTACTACTGTAGGAACCTAAAATCCTGAATTATATGATTCATCTTAATCATGCATGTAAAAGCTGTTAAAAAGCTGACTTAACAGGATGCTGAAACTTGTTAGACTTTGAAGCTGAAAGTTGCATGGAAAATGTTTAGTTCCGATAAATAGATATAACTTAGATAGAAAATAACTATAAGAAAAAGTAAGTGATCATTGGATTGTTTCCATATACGACAAATTATAACATTTCATGCGCTTGATTCTTATAAATTCGAATTTGACCTTGTCTGGGCTATGGTCAAGATTAATAATGTCATCAAAAGTGCTGTACATGCTTAAAACCTTCCCAGTATAAATTTATTGTATGTGGCTGCTTAAGGTGCTTTGGGTCTCACGCCAAGCATGAGAAATCCTTATAAGTTGTGCCGGATGTGATCTGAACATGTCTTCCTCATGTTCTCCTTTGCTGGATGTGATCTGGACATGTCTTCTTCATGTTCTCCCGTAAAACATGAGATTTTTGGTGTCTCCCAATGGAGTGTATTTTGTAACTGCCATCATAGTTAGATATTAAGTTAAATATATAGTAGGATCTTTCTTAGATACAATTACTTTAATTGTTCGCCATTGTTTTATCAAGCAAAGTTGGTATCTGCAAATGCTATTTCCCAAACAAGTCATTAACATAGACAGTATTTTGTGTTGTACACCGAAATGGATACAGCAAATTTAGAGGTGATCCTTCTGTACATAATTATCTATTTTTGATGAAGTATTTTTTTTTTACATTTCACACTCTGCGAACTGAGAACTGATGCCTTTGTCTGTTAAACACTTAGTTCCGGCATTTTGAACTGGCAGATCTTATAGAACAGAGGTGATTGTAATTCAAAGAAATTTAGTCCTAGGACATATGTAGGTTTTATTTAACAAACAAATATTGATAGAACAGATGTTTGTTCTTGCATTTTTCTGATATTCTGGAATACTTCTAATTGGCTGTGGATTTATCTTACTGTAATACAAATTGATGTTGTATTCCTGACCTTTCTCACGTTGCAGGAAAGAGTACAACAGCGGCAATGCTTTCATACGTCTTGAGTGCTATGGGGGACAATCTTATTGCTGTAGTAGGAGCAAATGTGCCACAGGTATTCTTTTGCCTGTAATAAGTCGTAATGAGTGATTAAGGCATCACTATTTGGTCTTCATCTTTCTCTTTCAATGGTGGTGAACTTGCATTAAGCAAGCACACAATGTGAAGCTAAATATTGTAGCTTTATAATTACAGTAGACAGTCACAGCTAACATGGGTCCTGCTCAATTGTGGAATACTGTATTCAAGGAGGTTATGCTCACACAGAATTTTGCACTGATTAGTCCATGACCTCTGACTAGGAGGGTGAACAAAGTTGGTATGGAGCATGCTATTGCTCCATGATGTCCAAATTTGAATTTGAAATAAAATCCATATTGTATAAAAATCTAAAATAACAGGAATAATTTATTAATTAAAATGTACTTGTGTCTTAATTATGTATTGGAGATGTAAATGGATATTCAAAAAAATTCGGATCTACTTTAGATTTATGTCCTTTGAAGCAAATTTCGGATAGTAGGTCCTAATCAATATTGTTTAATTTCAGCTCTGTTTGCTATCTGTTATAAGTATATGCAGATATGACAGTGCTACATATAAGGATGTTCATACACAAGGTTTTAAATATCGGATGTCGGGTTCATGTCGGACGGCTGAAATCCATGTCGGATAGCGAAAATCGGGGATATATCGGGGGATATGGACTAAATATCGGATTGTCATATCAGGTGATGCACATATGTATAGTATCATGTCCTAAATGTAATCTAAGCATTTCTAAATTCAATATAAGCATACTTTATAAATTTTATAGACTAGACATATAAAAAGTAAAAGTCAACAATTCCTTTTACTTAGCAGATATCGACTCAACAATAGCACAAATTGAAAGTCTGGAAAAAAATGCAAACAGAAAATGGGTCATGAGAGAGAGAGAGGCCAGTGAGGCTTAAGTGAAAAAATGTAAACAGAAAAAGTCATTACCGAGAGAGGGAGAGGGGGAGGAGGGGGGGGGGGGGGGAAGCCGAGGACCACGAAAGCAAAACGACGAAGATCGCGAGCCCTAGGGTTTTTCTTTTCTTTCTTATGATCGGGGTGGTGTCTATCGGGTTCGAAAAGAACCTCCTATATCCGATAAAAGGGTCAAATGAGTTTCGAACCCAAACCAAACCCAAACCAAACCAAACCCACACATTTGAACCGATAAATGGGCTTATTGGCCGATTTTTAAAACATGAAAAATCGGCCGACATGGCCAATATTTCGCCGATATATCCGATATCTCCCTGAAAAATGACATGCGACTTAAAATCTCCTGATTCGTGTCGCTCGATCTCTCAATGCGATATATCGGCCGACATGTCCGACATTTCAGCCGATATTTAAAACACTGTTCATACATATGTAAGAACTATAATATAGTTAATATATACCTCTTCTTAATTTATAAGTTTAGTAATTTTAATATTTGAAATTAATATTATAAGTATCAACTATTAATTTTGATTAGTTTATATAATTTCTTGTATTGTTAAGAGAAGTCTAATGAATTCACACTTCACTCTACTAAATATCTGATCATCATCACCACCAGTTTAAACTGCAACCTTTTTCTGCTGAGGAAATTGGGATAACCTCCGGGTTAGAACTCGACTTTAAGAAAGCTCCATAAAGTGACCTAATTTACAATTGTCTGCTGAGTTACGTCAACTCACCGAGTTGGTACCGTCCTAAGCTATTTTAGATGATGTATGGGTTACTTGTTAAATGTCAAATATTTTCACTTACCTTGAATGGTATGAACAAAGTAAGCTACGGAAGGAACAACTAATCTTATATCACTTATCCACTTTCAGAAGGTGTGTTATCCATCATGCATGGAAATAATAAGCATGGCATGGCATAGTTTGTATAAGACCTCGGATATTCTGGGAAATTCTCTACCGGTTGTTTAGTTTTGATGTATGAGCAGCTATAATTTAGCTCCTATTGCTGCAGCTGAAGCAGCATATTTTGAAGTAGCTGTATGTGTAAATACAGGATCCACACTTCTTTCTTTTCTTGTACCTGATGTGTAGCAAATTGCCTTATAGTTCAGATCCTATCCTGCAGTTGCAGCACATTTGTGTGATCCCAAAAGCTCTCTCTTTTGGTGTGGCACCACCTTTTTCTTATTGTTTTCTTCATCGTCATCAAGAAAAAAGCTGTAACTTGTTTCAAGAGTTTTTTCACCCCAGTACCTGATATAGTTCATATTCAATCCTGCAATGGCAGCACATTTGTCGAATAAATTCCAGGATTACCAGGAGTTGCAGAAGCTCCATAAACTCAAATACAAGCCCCACTCAAATGTGATAAGAATCACATATACTTATATAGTTCAGCATATTATTGACTGCACTTCCTCATAATTGTATATTCTCATTTTTAATATATGGTAAAAAGTCGTAGCCTCATAGGTAGTCATATTTTATGTAAATGGCTACATTTCAGCATATTCATCTAAGTCCAGAATTAAAATAATAGTCCCCTACAAATTTTTTTTGTGGACCCACCTATTTTGAGTACTGTGGTGATTAACCATCTAATGCAGTAAATAATTCTGTTAATGCTGAACTCCTACACTTTTACCATCAGAACAGGTAGAACACCATTCCCATTTTTAAGCTTTCGCAGCCCTTATTTCTTCTTTCCATTTCCTTGGGCCTCGCATCCTTCTGTCTAGAACCTTTCTTTATCTCCAATGGTTGATATTTTTCCCTTTTCACTATTCCTTTTTCGTTTTAAGCTCTAGCATACTCTTTTCCACCCTTATCAATATTTCTTCCATCAGTATGCCATCACTTTTTGTGCATGAGTTTTATAGCACAAGGGCAAAGAGGAAGTGCTGGTTTACTTTAGCGAGATGGAAGAGACATGTTGGTCAACAGATATTTTAGTCATCTCAGGTCCATGGTTCGCCTTAACTGTCGTTCCATTAAAGCTTTGGAGAGAATGATCGTAAGGTCTAACATGACTGAGTTCCTATATATATTTTAGGAAACATACAAATCCAAATTTTCTTTGAGAACCTAAGATGAACTTAAGATATACATGAGTTACATATCCAAATAAGCCTTTTCCTTTTCACATTTCCGTCTTCTACCATTTAGATAAATGTGTAGTTTGTTAACTTCTTAGTTCTTACTAGCTATATGTTATCTTGATTAGTTGGAGTTATTTTTCCTCTTGTTTTCTTTCTACTTTTTAGTGTTCAATTTCTTTCAGTATGAGAGTAGAATTACAATTTTTACATTATATCTATAGGATATGTATCTGTAGTTTTGTATCCTTTGGATCATGTAAGACCTGCCTCTACCTCCTGTCATGTCCTTAATTGAACTTCCTTTGTGTTTTCAAGGTTCCTTGTACCTTAATTTAGAATGAAAACATGAGGCTTATTGAGGGTAACTCTTTTATAAGAAAGAGTATTTGTTTGTTGCAGTTATGTAGTTTGAATTATTATTCTCCTTTATGAGATTTCTACCTTTATGGAATCTAATATAAAATCATAACTTGAGACTGTTGATGGTAATACATGTTCGTTTGTTTGTTGACATTCTAACAAAAGTGCACATCTCACATTTGTCTCATTGGATGAACAAGTCAGTGTGAATTTATTTTAATGTTACTACTACTACTACTACTATTTGATTTGACTTAATTCTAACTGTAATTTACCTTTTTTAGTTTAAAGAAGGGAATATAATTCCTGGTAGCGGGCCAAACTTTGTCTTGGAGGTATGTTTCCATTACTTTTGTGGGACAAAAAGTCTTTTCATTGTAATCCTTTAGGTGTTATCTTCGTCTGTACACACTTCATAACCCCTGGGTAATTTGTTTTCCTACACCACCCTAGACAGAAAAAGGTGATCTGCCATCTGCAAATTCTACTTTGTTAATATGGGTAACATCTCTGTTGTTTGACGTGTACTTCCATGAAAGTTTACTTAAACCTCACATTCCTCAACTTGAGAGTTAAAATGAGAAACCTTTTATTTTCATTGATGTTACTTTTTTAATTTCTTAATTATTTATTGTCTTCTTTCATGTTCTTTAGTTCTACTGTACTAAAAAGCACCGTTTTGTGATGCCCAAGTGTTCCAACTAGTTGACCAGTGCTATAATATCTAGATGATCTTCTTTCTGAAAACCAGTGGACACATACTTTTGCTATTTCTTTGCTATGCAGGCAGATGAATATGATTGTTGCTTTCTTGGATTGTCTCCTTCCGTAGCTGTGGTTACTAGTGTGGAGTGGGATCATGTTGACATCTTTCACGACGAGGTTTTTTCTGGACTCTTTTAATTATCACGGATGCGACCCTCATGACTGGTTCTGATTTTGGTCTTGACTTTGTGCATTTAATTTCCATTCCTCCTAGGGCTAGAATAGGGATGACAAGAAGCCTTCAAAAATCTTCTCTCTCCACTCTATCTATTGTGTGCCTGGTTTCAACAATACTAATCGCCTCTGCTTAGTTGAAGCCTCACTTCTTATTGCTCATGTCTAAATCTGTCTTCCATCAGGGTGTGACGACTTTCCAAGTGTTACAAAATGTATCTTCGTGTATATTTTCGCATTCTCTTTCAACATTATTTAAAGCTTGCATATACATTTATCTCTACTTTTTTGTGTGTTTTTCATAAACCATCTTTGTTTCTTAAGTTATTAGGTGATAAATGTAACATGGTTTTAGTGCTGTTATAAAGATTCATTTTTGGTTATTAGGGGTTTTCAAAGTACTTCACTCACCTTTCCTCATGTTAACCAGCCTACTTTCTTTTTCCTCTGGTTTAGATTGAACACATCATGGCAACATCTGTCATCAATTTGTTTAAGCTCTGGTATGTTGTGGCTTTCTTTATACTCTAGTTTAGATCGAAAACGTCATTGCAACATCTGTCATCAATTTGTTTATGCTTTGCTATATCGTTTTACTTGCAAATTTTTGGAGCAAATGGTACTACATAAACTTAGGACACTTTCACTATGTTCGGGAGTTTACTAGGGGAAGGGAAGTGGAAGATAAAATAGGGAAATGATAGATATAGGAAAGGAGGAAACTTGTAATATGTTGTTTGAGAGTTTAGTAAGGGGGACAAATGTGTGCTTAATTCTACTTGTTTGGGAGTTTAAATAAAGAAAAGGCAAGGGAAGGGAAGAGAATATATAAATTTACATAAATAAACTTACATGTTGTTAAAACCTTTTTTTCAAGTAATAAATCAGAAAATAGGGTAAAAATACCATACTTAGAAATTAGTTGTCCATTATAATAATAATAATAATAACTATTATTATTATTAACATATTACATCATTCCTTATATACAAAGCTTATAATAGCTTACTTTTCAAAACAAAATAACATCCATAGACTTCATAGGAAATAATTTAGCACATAATATCAACTAGCTTATTAAAATAATTTAACATAAATATATCAACATAATATAACATGAGCTTATCAAAATAACACACAATCTTATCAACACAATACACACAATATAAAATTAATGAAAAGTCGCAATATAAAAGTCATTACATTTCCAATATATAAAGCCTATCAAAACATGAAACACTTCAATGCAATAACCACATGCTCTTAACAAAATTCAACCACCAATTTCCAGCCAAGTTTTGCCATAAGCATCCAAAAATTAGCAAAGCCAAGTTTGCAATTGCCATCCATAATAAAAAAGTGGGAAAGACAAGCTCACACTTTACTATTGCTACCATGTACCCAAAATGCATCTTCCAAAAGCTAAGACAACTTAGAAAACAAGAAATATAAACCATAATGCTAAAATGTGTAGGTAGCAAGCTAATAAGGAGTCAGGGGTGGCATAGATGCCCTGTTCATCCTCATGGAGGCACTTGCACTTTTCCATTGAACATCCAAGTAAACCCCTTAGATTATCTGGACAATTAATTAGGAATACGTGTACATCGTTAATTTGTTCATTCTCGACCCAAAACCTCAACCAAAAGATTCTAAAGATCATCCTCAGCTACTTTTTGTATACTATTGTAACTCTTTTCAGCACCAACATCCTCCTTCGATTTCTTGCTCTTCTTCTGTGAATTTCCTGACCAGGTCTCCCTGTCGCCACATGACCATCTTCTTTGTCAATTGGTTGTTCATTATTAAAAATCTCCAAGAAAATTTTATCTCTAGCAACATTTCATTGATGTCATCAGTTTTAACAATCAACCTCATTAGTTACACTAAAAGCCCTCCTTTCAAATGAAATATTATACTATTATCACAAAGGAAAAACAAGATCATTCATGCAACAAAAATAAAGGATTAAATGGACATTAGTCTTACAATCATCAAGTATAATACAGATAGAGAATATTAGTCTTACAGTCATCAAGTACAACACAAGTAGAAAACATTAGTCTAACAATTATCAAGTACAACACAAATAGAGATTACATAACATTCAATATAGGAACAAAAATGGATAAGTGCAAAGAAGGAAAAAAAAGGAATGTTTCCATTAAATAAACATGGTACGATGTTAAATGATCGATGTGCCAAAACAATATACATATGTTTATAACATTATCCTTTATCCAAATTCACTTGTGGAACTTATTGTCGACTTCTTAACCTAAATTGCAAGATTGAAGGTAGAAGGATTTAATGGCGTTTAAATAAGGATTATGTAGTAAAGTTGATGGAATATGGTATGCCGGCGAATATGGAGGGACTAATGATTTGTACTCGGGATGAGTACACTTGTGATGGAGTATATTCCGGTGGAGAGGGAGGGTAGTTTTTGGCATTGGGGTAAGGCTCCGATGGTTATGGAGGAGGATTAAGGAATTATGGTCTCCAAGTAAACATTTTTCTCTATCTAGAGAGCAGTGGTATGAAGGACCCATTATCCTCGTCTTGGATATCTCATGGTTTATCTCCTCTTTCAGCATATTGCCAAATTGAGAGATTACAACATGAACACATATTATGAAATGAGGGTGCCTCTTTCTTGGTCCTGAGCCTACACCTCACGCCTTTCCTATTGCCATAGCTCCCTCTCCTACACACTGTTGTTCATCTCATCACTGGAGAAAACATGTCCCTTCCTCACTGAGATGTTGCTTTCATCTATTCCATCCCTTCGGACCAAATAGAGAAAACAAAATCCAAGGCAACAAAGAGCTACGCTGCAAACTGAAATTTGCGCCACATTTTCCCCAGAATATCCTCATTGTCAAACCACACTGTAACTTAGAAACTGTGAAGGTAGAATGGAAATTAAATACCAACCCTTTTTGGCATTGAATTCTAGTGAATTTTTAAGTCTCTTCATTAGACTAGATCACTACCAATTGCTGTCAACAAAAGATCAATATTTCTATAAACCTCCCAAACTTCTCACCGCCATCAGCCAAAGTTTCCTTCTCTAATTGATCCCAAGGAGTTTCTAAGATAGTCAGAGTATTAGCAGGAAAATCATTTTATATTAAAATTTAGGCTACCTCTCTGTTGTTTCATTTTTTAGTGGATGAGGGTACAACTAACAAGTTTCTTAACTTTTATTTGTTATTTTGTCTTAGCAATATCATGGTTCCTTTTCAATCTTTTTATTTATTTTGCAATTCCTAAATGTTTTTGCTAGCAGCATTCTTTTGTCATTGCGTATTAATACAAATTTTCAAATTTATCAGGAAGCTGTCCTGGATACCTTTAGGAAGTTTTTACAGAAAGTCAAGATTGGCGGTCATCTCATAATATGTGGAGATAGGTTGGTGATTTACTATCTTTATCATATGGCTCTTCTGTGCTTGTGTGTGTTTCAAGATGATTCAGTTAAAAAGTGATATTAAAAATTTGTAGGACTGAAATGAGCAAGAACAAGTTAAATACTAGCCATAGGTTAAGTACTATTTACATATTGTTATGTCCAATAACCAAGGACGACTTTATTACTTGCTATGGCTGTTACGCCAACTAACTTGAAGCTATCAATTAACGATGTTGTGTTCAGTGGTAATCATGTGTCTGCTCAGGTGCTAAATCAATATAATAACTAGTGATCCGCAACTAGAATCACTTAATAAGTTTGTTAAGCGCTGTTTACTATTGTTTACTCCAGTGCTAATCAAGTACAACTTTATGATCTGCTATGCATGCTAGGCCAACTAACTTTAAGCAGTCAATTAACAATGCTTTGTCTTTTGCTGATCATGTGGCTGGTACAAACCAATATAGTAAAACTAAAATCACTTAATAAGTTTTGTTGGAATAATTAGGTACTAACTACGTCATGTTAGATCATGAAACGTTACCAATGTGACTAATTAAGTAATGATTCAAGTGTTAATGTCAATTTGAGGCAGTGTGTTTTGCCCTCACATAAAATATTTTGAAAGAGTTGTTTATTCCTTATTGTTTAATCCCACATTGGTTAGGGACAAACTCCTTTGTTTCTTAAAATACTATTAATAACATCGAAGAGAGTGCTAATGATCTTTGTAGGATTTCACATTAACATGGCATCGGAGCCACCCTTTCTCTCATTTCTCCCATTTTCTAAACCCTAGCCGCCACCTTCTCAAACCCTAGCCATCACCTTGTACCCATTTCAAATCCTAGCCGTCAAGGTTATTGATAGCGGATAGCATCACGTAGCGAATAGCATCACGTAGCGGTGATTCATCGCTAAGGCTATTTAGGGTTATTGCGGAAAAATAGAGATAAAAGGCGTAGAGTCAAATAGTGGTCTAATTTAAATATATATACATATTTCAAAAAAATAAGAAAATTTAAAGAAAAATCTAGAAAATCTAAAAGTACATATTTGATGATTTAAAAAGATCCTAAACATGAAATAGACATTTAACCTTCACATAATACCGAAGATGACTGAAGGAGGAGTCAAAGAGTCGTCCTCTTCGAAAAGATGAGTTGAGCAATGAGAGTACTGTAGTAGGAGGAGCTCACTGCGAGAAAAGGTGAGAGGAAGTGCTGAGGGAAAATGTCGAAAATCATGGGAGGCTGTGAGATGTAGTGGTTGCAGGTTGGATATAATTTAAAATATAAACCTCAAACCGCTTTTAAATAATGGTCAAAAAGCAAAATTTGCTCACAATTGCCCGTTATTCACTGCTATGACGCACTATTGTTCGCATTTTCCGAATATTTTGATAGCTCTTTCACAAATTATTTGGAAGAAAATAAAATTTTAAATATGTTGTCTTGTACTTACACACCCAACAAAATGGGGGTGACTGAGCACAAAAACAAAGACTTGCTAAAAATTGTTAGGACATTGTTATTCCATCGTCAAGTCCCAAAATATTTTTTGGAGATACTTTTTTGAGAACCTGCTATCTAATCAATAGATTACCCTCATTTGTCTTACAGAACAAAACTTTAATCTTCTTTTTATATCCAGCTGAAGATGCTTTCCATTACCTATTAAGATATCTTGGTCCTTATGCTTTATTCACACTCATGTCCTCAATGGATTAAATTAGATTTGAAATATCTTTAGGGTATTTTTCTTGAATATTCTAAGATTTAAAAAGGGTACAAATGTTATTGTCCCTCCTTGAATCGGTATATTGTTATAGCCGATGTCACATTCTTTGAGAACAAACGAGGACATGTTGTCTTTGATAACTCCTTAGACCCTCTCGATGATTATGACTACCTTATTATTCGGGAAACCACTATCAGTGTTTCTTTGAAGACTGCTGTACAAACTGATCTACCATCCAAGTATGTGAAATCAGTTTAGGTTTATATAAGACGTACTGCTTTGCAACCTGAGCCATCGTCTAAATCCACCAAAGAGCCTAATATACTAGCAAGGCAAAATGTGACCATACAGCCAAATGCTCAGCCTATTGATGATCTTCCCATTCCCCTCCGAAAGGATAAGAGATATTGTTCTTGATATCCTCTTACATAGTATGTCTCTTACTCTTCGTTATCTCCATTATATTATTCTTTCATATCTTCTTTGGATTCTCACCCGGTTCCCAATAATTTGTTAGAATCTCTATCGAACTCAGGTTGGACATCAACAATGCAAGGAGAGATGACAGCCTTAGAGTGAAATGAGACTTGAGATCTTGTTTTGCTACTAGTAGGGAAGAAAGTGGTTGGCTGCAAATGAGTTTATACCGTCAAAGTAAAGCAAGATGGCTCTCTAGCTCGCCTCAAAGCTCGACTAGTTGCGAAAGGGTATTCCTAGATCTATGGCCTTGATTATATCAATATCTTCTCTCCTGTACTTAAGATGACAACTATCCGCATTCTTATTTCGTTTGCCGCTTGCTATCACAAGCCACTACATCAGTTGGACGTTAAGAATGCCTTCCTTAATGTCATTCCTGATGAGGAGGTTTATATGGAGCAACCATCAGTTTTGTTGCGCACAGGGAGTGTGGCAAGATTTGCAGGTTGAAAAAAATTCATCTATGGCTTGAAGCAACTCCGAGGGCTTGGTTCAGAAGTTTTGCAGCAGTTGTCCAGACCTGTGGTCTTTGTTGAGCTTAGAAAGATCACTCGGTTTTCTGGATGATATGTTTGATTCAGCCATAAAATTGCTACTTAATTGCATCTCTTGCATTATCTAGTAATTTTCATTCCTTAAAGAACCACTTCACCGAAACATTACTTTTTTGTGGTATAGCCTAATGGTTACAGAAGGAAGAAGAAGTGTAAACAAAATGTTAAACTGTTGAAGTATCTTTACACCCCAAAATTTTATGTATATAATTGAGACTGCATCACATCATCATTTATGACAACACTGCCATCAACATAGAATACCAAAATAACCCCCTTATGAAGAGAAATCTCAAAAATAAAAATTAATCTGACTGATAGTACTTTAATCCAACCTTGTCTACCAATGACTAAAGGGACATACACAGGCTGAGAGGGTACCCGAGTTTATCAATAGTTTTGCAGAAGGTACCCTAGTTTATCAATAGCTTTGCAGAAGGTACCCGAGTTTATCAATAGCTTTGCAGAACCTGCATACTTTTTCACATTTTCATTGAGAAACAAATCTGGAGGTTGCTCCATATACACCTCTTCTTTCAAGTTACTTGAAGAAATGCCTTCTTCAGAATGCACAAAAACTCTGAAAAGGAACAAGCTTTGAGAACCTCAACAGATCCTATGTTTACATTTTCTGATACAGAGAAGGAAGAAGAGATGGAAGATATCATCGCAAATCCTGTATTTATCTTGCTTTCGTACCTTGTAAATTCTTGAGTTTGATATGGAGGATAGCAGAGAAAACTGTCGAATTTCATAAGGATTTTTCTGAGTTGCTGCCATTGAATAACCAAATTAAGTTTTGCAGACCCTAAACACAAACCAAAAAAACCAATTCTTGAACAAGATGTGTTTCGTTAGATGATAGTGTGATTAAAGCATGAAAAGTAGTTTTCATTTGCAAGGGCTGCTGCTTATCCTAGTTAGCAGAAAAAAATGCAACTACTTGTTTGTTTTTCTTAATAGAAGATAGGTAAATGAAAGGAGAGAGAATATATGCCATTAATATTGTAATATATCTATGATAACATCTATTATTTCTCCCCCTATTTACATTTACTATTTCAGATATTTTAGCCTGACTTTCAACTTCCATCCAGACTTATGACTTTCTTGAAGAGGGAGCCATCTATTACTTCTCACTTCAACTTGGCAAATGCCACTCTCTTACTTTCGAGGATCAGTTTACTCAAAGTAACCATCTTAAGTGACTGTCGGCTTACACACTTTCATTCTCACGCGTATCCAACCAAACCAACACTCCCTAACTTGTGTTGTGGTAATGTTACATTAGTGCTATAATATGCTACAACTGCTATAAATGCCACTCTCTTACTTTCGAGGATCAGTTTACTCAAAGTAACCATCTTAAGTGACTGTCGGCTTACACACTTTCATTCTCACGCGTATCCAACCAAACCAACACTCCCTAACTTGTGTTGTGGTAATGTTACATTAGTGCTATAATATGCTACAACAACTGCACCTCTAACACGAATTAAACCTTTGTTTTTATCTAATATTATTAATTATTGTTTACTTGAAAATGAGAATCATGGTGTCCAGGCAACAATGAGCTAACTGCTTAGTCTGTTGGTGGTCGACCAGTCTGTATTTATTTTAGTAAGAGGCCCTTTGCCCGTGAGATTATAATCGGTCCATTACTCTCCTCATCATTTCATCTTTTTAATAACATCTGGAAAAATGGTAGAAGCCGATGAGATTCAACATTGAATTAATGCATAATGATCGTTATATATAAGGTAAATCATTATTTGAAATTCACTTTAGATGCAGTTAGGTATAATCATTTAATGAACTTCATTAGAAGGTGGGGTCCAGTGCAGGTGCATATTCTTTGGTGAGCAAATCCATTAAGGAGCGTGTGTCAGACTGCGAGATGGTGCTCACATCACTTGCATCGAAACCTGGCTACAGTATAACAACATACGGAATTTCTAGTAAAAACGATTGGCATGCATCATCAGTTACACCCAATTCACATGGGGGTCAAGATTATGTATTGGTGAGTCTTACACTTTCTGAAATTAGGATCACAATGTTAAAAAAAAGCAATGTTTATGCTGATGTTTAGTCATTCTTATAGTTTTACATTAATTTTTAATAGTAGTTCACTCAATCTAGATGAGTCGTTCAAGTTTGATAAAGCAATTTTGTTTGAGTAGCTTTATTTACTGTAGCATTTACATTAAGCTTCATGAGGTTCAGTTGGTGAGTTGCTTGATAGAGAGCTATGGGCGAATATTCATCTTTAAGACACTATGGATGTTGATTCCCGTCTAGCTCCTACAACGAAAGCTACAATCAAATAGCTTTCGGGTCGATGATCGAAACATACAGTCGAATAGTTGCTTGGTAGAGAGCTATGGGCGAATATTTATCTTTAAGACACTATGGATGTTGATTCCCGTCTAGCTCCTACAACGAAAGCTACAATCAAATAGTTTTCGGGTCGGTGAACGAAAGTTGCGAATGGAGGGCTTTTCACATAGATCGAGAAGAGTTACAATTCAACGACACTTCTGACGATTGATGAAAACTCTATGCAGCAGTCTTCACAATCTACAGTGAAAGTTACAATCTGACGGCTTTCACACCCCACAACAGCTAAAGCTAGGATTATTGAACAACGGTCCTTGCAACGCTCTACAGAAGAAGTTACAAGTCAAATGGCTCCTTCTGAAACGCGGATGTCATCCCCGCGTCACCAAGTTGGAAATGAAGGCGACCCTCGCGTCGTCAATGCACAAGCCAAACGTGAGCGACCCTCGCGTTCAATGGTGTTCAACCAACAGCGACCCTCGCGTCGACAATGCACAAGCCAAACGTGAGCGACCCTCGCGTTCAATGGTGTTCAACCAACGGCGACCCTCGCGTTCGACAATGCACAAGCCAAACGCGAGCGACCCTCGCGTTCAATGGTGTTCAGCTAACACCCAACTTCGCGTCTCAATTCAAAGAACACGAAGTTGAGGTTCTGAACGCCAGATTGGGCGTTTGACTCACTCAAACATGAGTCGAACGGTTCCAAAACCGTTTATCCCACGTTCTGAGGGGATTTTCACCCACGTAGGAGCGGATATAGGGGTCAGTTACAACCCCTTATCCCCCTATAAAATATCAACAAACTGGACAGAGTGAGAGGATCGGATTTTTGATAATCAGATCAGAGGTTGGATTCTTTATCATCAAAATCACTCTGGTTTGGAGATTCGGCAACGACAGCAACGAAATCCTCGGAGATAGGATTTTTGAATCAACCTCAGAAGATCAAATCTGAGAGGATTCTTCGACAACAGAAAAAACAGCTTGATCTTTAACCGAATTTTCGGTTCCAACAACTCTATTCACAGAGTTCAAACTCGTTCAGAGTTCTTAAACTCATTCAGAGTTATTCATAAAACTTTCCACGAAAGTTCATCGTTTCCACGAGATAAAGACGGTCGGATCGTCAACGGAGAGCAAGTTCGACGCAATCAATCGAAGGAAGCACTCCATCGCTGCCAAGAAGAACCCAGTTTTAAACAAAGGGGAAAACCAAATTCGTTTTCCTCTCTTTTGTAATCAAATTGTAATCCAACATATGATATAATCTAAACATTCAAAATCATAATTTGTTTGACAATAAGAAAATCACTCTTTGGAACATGAACTTCAACTAAAAGCAAGAAAACATACTACTAAACTAAATGGAGATTAGTCTTGACTCTTGAGACTTGAACATAAAGCATCAATTCGGATGAAAGTTTTGTTTCTCCTTAAGTAAGCTGACAAATGACCCCATTTCCTGCATGGTGCTCTCATGAGCTTGTGACATTCGTGATTGACCCTGAGAAGTTTGAGAAAACCCTTGCCAGCTCGGTTAATTAAAAGACTCATTTTGGAACTGGTGCATTTGAGATGGCTGATGTTGGAAATTGTAAATAGGCGATGGATAACTGGTCATTGCATTTTGTAAATCCATTTGCTTCCTGAGCCATGATAATAGCATTTGACCATTAAGCATATTAACGACATGCCTATTCTCCTTCTTTTTAATAGCTTCTGCTCCTGCCACACATAGATCACTAGTTACACCTGGTAAATTCATTATCTTATCCATTCTTTCATTTCAGTGGGCACTCCTTTCTTGGAATCTACTAGCTCTTTTGTAATTTCAATTCGCTGCTTTTGTAGCTCAATCATCTTTGACAAATTATTTTCAACTTCAATACCTGATGATCGATGACGAGAAATATTTTTAAACTTACGCTTTAAACCTGATGGTTGGGCTTGATGCTTTCTGCTTGGAGTAGAAGTAGGTGTTGGTTGTGATAGTAGTTGTGTACCATTAAAAGGAACTTGTGTCTCTTCCACTACTTGTACCTCCTCTGATTCACTCAAGTCTCTCGTTACTGTGTGGCCCCTCAATATCATCTAATTCATTATCTGAACTAGTGCTTCCTTCACGCTCATTGAAGTCATCGGTAGTCCCAAACCACCAGCGTCCCTTAGATGTGTTACCTCCACATAGAAAATCCATATCATCAAACTGAGGAAAAGGTTTGTTCTTAATTCTTAAATACTCATCATTCTCCTGCGGTAGAAAATTCATAATAAATATATCATAGTTTTAATTATATAATATTCAAATGCTTTACTGGTAGAAATTTAAATAATACCTTTATCAGTGCCTCCCAATCTTTTGCGGTAGGTGCAATCACCATATTTTTACCTTCATCCCAACCCCAACCTAATTTATTTCGAAGTTTGAAATTAAGGGAATATTGTTTTTTCAAAATTTTATAACGGTTTTGCATTTGTAGTTTGCCTCTGTCCTTTTGTCCAGTCCTAACTTTATACTCATCGGTTACATTTTGCCATTGCTCGGTAGTGAAATGACCTCCATTGTTCTTTCCTTTAAGGACCATTTCCTTTAATATTCCCATCAAACAATTATCTTCCTCTATAGTCCAGTTCCTAGCACGAGGTCTTGACTGCCCACCTTCGGGTTGAGATTGTGATATGAAGTTCTTCTTAGCCATTCTACATCATAATGAGAATTTTAAAAGAAATTAATCAATTGAACAATGCTATGTAAACTATTGTGTTGGAAATACAAAGACATATCAAAAGTAAGTATTAAAAGATCATATCAAACTTTGAAAACTATGATGTCTTTCTTACAATTGTGTCAGTTTTGTACATTAGGATGTCAGACATCATATGTGTATAGTTTTGTACATTAGGATGTCAGACATCATATGTGTATGTGTTACTGGGTCTTAAAACAATAAATCATATCAAATGATCATATCAAATGTAAGCATAAAAGGGTCTTAAAACAATAAATCATATCAAATGATCATATCAAATGTAAGCATAAAAGTAATTAGAATTTGTACCCACATGTAAAGTAACACATACACATATCATATCAAATGTACGAGGTCTTGCTTACATTTGTGTCAGTTTTGTACATTATATGTGTATGTGTTACTGGGTATGTATTACTGGGTATGTGTACAATCTAACAATAAACCAGACATCATGTGTATGTGTTAATGGGTCTTAAAACAACAAATCATAAAAGATCATATCAAATGTAAGCATAAAAGTAATTAGAATTTGTGTCAGTTTAAAGCAACACATACACATATCATATCAAATGTACTAGGTCTTGCTTACATTTGTGTTAGTTTTGTACATTATTTGTGTATGTGTTACTGGGTATGTGTTACTGGGTATGTGCACAATCTAACAATAAACCAGAACTCATATGTGTATGTGTTACTGGGTCTTAAAACAACAAATCATAAAAGATCATATCAAATGTAAACATGAAAATAACTTATGATGTCTGACACAAAACTGAGAATGTGTACCTGGAATCATTTTTTGTTTTTTGCACCAAAAAATTGAAATTGTAGCAAGCATAAACAAGAATGTTTAGTTTTGATTATAAACTATTCACATTTCTTAGAGTTTACAGTTAATGAAACTGACATGTAAGACACATATGGCACATATTCAACAAATTCAATTGAGTAGAATGTTACATATTTAGACCCATTCCCAGATGCAAAAAACAAAACTGAGAGAAAAAGCAACACATACACATATCATATCAAATGTACTAGGTCTTGCTTACATTTGTGTCAGTTTTGTACATTATTTGTGTATGTGTTACTGGGTATGTGTACAATCTAACAATAAACCAGAACTCATATGTGTATGTGTTACTGGGTCTTAAAACAACAAATCATAAAAGATCATATCAAATGTAAACATGAAAATAACTTATGATGTCTGACACAAAACTGAGAATGTGTACCTGGAATCATTTTTTGTTTTTTGCACCAAAAAATTGAAATTGTAGCAAGCATAAACAAGAATGTTTAGTTTTGATTATAAACTATTCACATTTCTTAGAGTTTACAGTTAATGAAACTGACATGTAAGACACATATGGCACATATTCAACAAATGAAATTGAGTAGAATGTAACATATTTAGACCCATTCCAAGATGCAAAAAACAAAACTGAGAGAAAGCTCAAGCAGCAAGCATAAACAATGAAGTTCCACATGTACTGCAGACAACTTATGTTGTCTGAATCAAAACTGAGGGCAATCAGGACTATGATGCAATCAGGACTAGAGGATTAACTACAGAATGTCACATATTTGGCAATGGGTAGTAAACAATGTCTTACTGCATATGATGTAATGGTGTGTATGTGTTACATGGTGCTTATGATGTCTGACACAAAACTGAGAATGTGTACTTGGAATCAAATTGTTTTTGCACAAAAAAATTGAAATTAACAACATGACAGTATTCATTCATCAGGTGAAGCAAGACTGATGCCTTAGATGTGTTACCTCCACATGATAAGCCATTCACATTTTTTAGAGTTTACAGTTAATGAAATTGACATGTAAGACACATAAGTCACATCTTCAGCAAATGAATTTGAGTACAATGTCACATATTATTGCTAAGAGGAGTAAGATTAAGATAATAATCAATTATTGCTAAGTTAACTTGTTGTAAATGAGGATAGGTAATTCAGAGGGCAGACAAGACTAGAGA